AGCCCGACAACAGGAGATTGATTTGGAGCACATTGAGAAGAGGAGGTCAATTCAGGTGCAAACTTTGGAGGTTCCCGGGAAGAGACCCAAGACTTCTGACCAGCATCTAAGAGGTCAGCAAGACAAGATTTAGTGCATCACGTGCGAGAAACTACACGATGGAGTTTGTCAGTCCAGGGGTTTGGGCTGCTACAAGTGTGGAAGGGTTGTCACTTCAGCAGGAATTTCCCTTAGGGGGAACCCCATTTTGTTTTCACTGTTGTCGGGTGGGCCACAAGAAGGACGGATGTCTTACGTTTAGGGGAAGAGCAGTGAGCATGCATGCTTCAGCTTCTTTGAGGATCACCGATCGATGAGATGGTAGGGCAGGAGACCCAGCACATAGGAGTTGAGTTCTATAGGTATGTATCTTTTACCTTCTTTCAGGTAATTTATATTTGTGTTTATTGTTGTTGAAATATAGCATCAGTTTGGATAAGCATGCATCCAATTCACTTCCTTGCTCATGTATAAACTATATTCTCAAACATTTTCATATGCCATTTGCATACCGTGAATTATTAGTGGTCAGTGTTATCTCAGTTTATGGTCGAGATCGGTTTAGGGGAATTATAAGGAACGTATGTAGTCAGGGTCCAATGGGATGGTTCTCCACCATCATTGAGATTCGATAGTTTAGTTATTGTACCCAGATTGACTTGTGGAGTCATCAAAGGAAGTGGTCTATTGTCGAGGTTTTGTCGGAGCATCAGTTATTTGGAATTCAAAATATGAGTACAAAATCATTTCAAGCCATCTGGAGTTATTAGTATTGCTGGAGTTCAGAAAGTGTTCATCTAGTCTTCAAGGGTTGTATAGTCTTTTAAGTTATCCTGGTAATGGGTCGTTAGCTTTGTTACGCACTGGTTGTCAATGGATGAGACATTATGGAAAGTGTTGTAAGTGATGGGTTTTGCGCATTCTAACACTTCCTATGTGTACATGAAACCCTAATAAACCTTGGATCTATGTTTGTCTAAGATACATGGAAATAATTATTTTTCCAAGATTCATATCCTAACTAGCATGGCATGGGAACATGAATCAAATAAAGCTAGTAGAAATACTTACCTTGTAGTAGTAGTTGATTGCTTGGAGTTTTAGAGCCTAGCACCAATAGTGTGAATGCCTCAAATGGAAATCACAAATCACCACAAACTTGGAACTTTGAGAGAATAGTCACTACTATCTTGAAATCGACCCTCACCCCAACAAGTGTCAACTAGTGTGATTTCAAGAACCAAAGCCTCCTTTATATAGTGTGGTGGATTAGGGTTACATCCATGTAAACCCTAATACCCATGTCTCTTCATTTCCATGAGGTCCATGGGTTAAAGCTCCATGGAGTATCCATGGACTTTTCCATGTAAGCCTAACCCATTCCAAATAAGCATTAGCCCACACTATATAAATATAGAAGCCCATATTTAATTAGTAATATCTTTGATCTCTAAATTAATCCTAGATTAATTATAGATCAATACTAATTAAATAATATGATCTTATATTAATATATTAGAACTTATAATATATTAATAAATCATAACTTGTACTATTCTCAAATATTATCCATAAATTGTTTGGGTGAAGTGCAAGCCAAATGGACCATGCCGGGTCCGGTCAAGTACATACCAAATATAGTTATGGACTTAGACACTATATCCAACAGTGTCCCACTTGGATAACTCTAATAACTATAGTTGCAAGTATGACTTCAGGAACCGATCAGCAATCGTAGCTCTTTAAACTCTGTTGAACTAGAACGTGCCATTTTAGATAAGTGATCATATAATCCTCTGCTCAAGATATCAGCCGGATAAATACATGGAACATGGTCTTACTTATTGTCCAGCATTTGTTTCCTGATTTCTGATTTGTTTGACATAGAACTTAACTGAACACATCAATTTAGTTCTGACCGGGCCCGGTACATAGGTCAAAACACAATCATCGAGGGGCCCAGATATTAGCTTCTAATCCAAGAAGGAACATATAAACTTTGACTCATATGTTTGTTCTACCACTCATTGAATTATACACAAAGGCACATTTTATGACATCGAGTTACCAATGCGTTTTCGTACAATCAATGCATAATCAACTCGTAAGTAACAAATCGTATCTCTAGGCTTGAAGACTTAAATGATATTACCATCTCACGATCACTCGAGATAAAATTCCATGAAGTGATTCCAGTGAGCGTGGGTTGAGTCCAATGCTTAGAACTTATGAGCACTCATGATTGTTGTAGCCATGTCCAACACCTTAGACCTCTGCAACCAATCATGACAGTCTTGATTCATACCTACTTCTGACATATGACCGACTGTGGAGGTTTGAATAATATGATATACCAAACATAATTATTCAGGAAGTCAAAACATGCAAAACAAATATAGTAAATCATCGACAAGAGATAGAACAACTTTACTCATAAATAAAACACGTTTTATTCATCATCTAATGTCAATTACACTTTACAAATTTCATAATTTATCTAACTACTCAAACTTATATCATCCTTCAGCCCTATGCTCTGAGCATGCTGGAGATGCTTAACCCTACTCAGTCCCTTCGTGAGGGGATTTGTTGGGTTCTCATCCGATGATACCCTCTTTGCCACGAGGATTCGTTCTTCTATTCGATGTCTGATGAAGTGATATTTTCTGTCAATGTGTTTGGATCTCCCATGATCTCTTGGTTCCTTGGCTAAGGAAACCGCACTATTGCTATCACAGAAAATCTCCATTGGCTCTTTTATAGCTGGTACAACTCCAAGGTCTCCGATGAAGTTCTTTAGCCATATAGCCTCCTTTGTTGCCTCGCTTGCTGCTATATACTCTGATTCACAAGTGGAATCAGCACGTGTCTCCTGCTTGGAACTCTTCCAAGTGATTGCTCCTCCATTTAAGGTAAAGACCCAGCCTGACTGAGAGCAGAAATTATCCCTATCAGTCTGGATGCTAGCATCACTATACCCTACAACTCTCAAGTCATCACTCCCACCGAAGGTAAGGACCCAGTCCTTAGTTCTTCACAGGTACTTGAGGATATTATTTACCGCAATCCAGTGTTCCTTGCCAGGGTTCCCCTGATACCTGCTAACCATGCTCAAAGCAAAGGCTACATCAGGTCGAGTACACGTCATAGCATACATGATCGATCGTACAGCTGAAGCATAAGGTAGTCGACTCATTTCTGCTATCTCAGCCTCAGTACTAGGGCTTTGTGTCTTACTCAATCTGGCGTTACTCTGAATGGGTAATTCACCTTTCTTGGAGTTATGCATGTTGAATCTTTTCAACACCTTCTCCACATAGGTGCTTTGACTAAGTTCAATTAGTCTTTTACTCCTGTTTCTCAAAATCCTTATCCTAGGATATTGGCAGCTTCACTAAGGTCCTTCATAGCGAAACACTTCCCAAGCCAGGACTTTACTTCCTGCAGGGTTGGGATGTCATTTCCTATGAGTAGTATATCATCCACATACAATACCAAAAAGCTAACTATACTCCCACTAGCCTTGACATAAACACAAGATTCATCTTCACTCCTAGAAAAGCCAAATTCCTTAACCTTTTCATCAAAGCAAAGATTCCATCTGCGAGGTGCTTGCTTTAATCCATAAATGGATTTCTCAAGCTTACACACTCTATTAGGGTACTCGTTGCTGACAAAACCTTCTGGCTGACTCATGTAAACATCTTCAGTCAACTTTCCATTAAGGAAATCGATTTTGACATCCATTTGCCAAATTTCATAGTCATGAAATGCAGCTATGGTTAACATAACCCTAGTAGACTTGATCTTGGCTACTGGAGAAAAGGTCTCATCATAATCGACTCCAGGAATTTGAGCATAACCCTTTGCTACCAGTCGTGCCTTATAAGTGTGTACATTACCATCCATGTCGGTCTTCTTCTTGAAGATCCATTTGCACCCTACAGTCTTACGACCTGGTACATTCTCAACCATGTTCCAAACTTAATTTTCATACATGGATTGTATCTTGCTATCGATAGCCTCTTTCCATTTAGCAGACTTGGGGCCTGCCATGGCTTCCTCGTAGCTGTTAGGGTCATCCAGACCTACTAGTGTCCCATCACTAATAAGTGTCTCACCTTCTGCAGTAATATGGAAACCATAGTATTGCTCAGGTTCATTCCTAACTCAGGTGGAACGCCTCAGAGGTACAGATTCGTCAATTGGCTGAACAGGATTTTCCTCCTCAAATTGAGGGCTCGTTTTTGAAGTTCCTTCACCACTTGACTCTTGAATTTCTTCAAGATCAATTTGCCTCCCACTATCTCCTTGGCTTACAAACTCTCTCTCTCTCTCTCTCTCTTCTCTCTCTCTCTCTCGAAAGACTCCTCTTCTTGCTACAAAGACCACATTATCACTAGGTCTGTAAAAGAGGTAACCAAAGGATATTTGTGGGTAGCCGATGAAAATACACCTCTCGCTTTGGGGTTCTAGCTTGTCATGAGTCTCGCGTCTCACAAAATCGCAACCCCAAATCTTGATGTGGTCTAGTTTGGGTACTTTACCAGTCCACATCTCGTGAGGAGTTTTGGCAACTTTCTTTGTAGGGACTAGATTAAGGATATGGGCGGCAGTCTCTCAGGCATACCCCCAAAATGAGATTGGTAGAGAAGCTCAACTCATCATGGAACGAACCATGTCCAACAAGGTTCGATTACGCCTCTCAGCCACACCATTCAACTTCGGTGTCCTGGGAGGTGTTAATTGTGAACAATCCCACATTCCTAAGATAGTCGAGGAATTTGAACTAAGATACTCACCACCTC